GGCATCCGGGTACCGCTAGAGATGTTCCTCCCCTAGCTCGACTATACCGTATTCCTATAAACGTCAATACTTCGCTGCCTGTGAACCCGAACTCGACGATTCCGGAGGATCCGATGGAGCAAGATGGTGCGGAGGCTGAGGGTGACGATAATGAGGATTCCGCAACTTGAGGCTGGGGGGGGGTCTGTAACGTCTCTATTATTTTTCTTCTCTTTTCTTGTTACTTTCTTGTCGCGGGCCACACGAAGCGCGAGTCTTACGTTCGTGTGGCACCTTTGGGCCACAACTACAGCCCCAAGCCGCAGTATCGGGTTACCTCATGTTTATAGCTGTACGTTTTAGGTTTGAACTCTATCGACTCATGTATTTAACTTACGAGGTCCTCGAGGAGGACCGTATTGTGAATAACATTCTTCTTACTTTTTTCCTGATTTTTCCCGCTTTATTCGCTTCGTGAGATCGCGCTCGAGATTACTCGCGCGACCTCTCTCCGCAACTCGCTTCAGTGCTTCCGGTCGGGTCGGATATTGAATACATCCGGACCTACAACTTCGCACGTGTTCGGACGCACCAGCGTCTCCCACATCGTCTCGCGTCGTCTCCTCTCTCCCGTACGCTCACCTCCTCAGAGGCACCCTCGAGGGGTGGGCGTCCGCTCATTCGAGCTTACTCTCAACGATTAACTTCTGTATTTCCTCTCGTGATTCGCTACCGGTTTGAGACTCCTCAAACGGGTGTCTCACCTGCAACTTTGTCCATAACAATCAGAAAATGGTGGGTCCTTCTTGAATCTTGCTCCTGGGTGAGAAACAGTGGGCAAGCATATGGACAGGAGAGCGGGAGTGAGAAATCTAAGACGGAGTGTAGGAATAGCGCAGAGCTGAGAGGCGGAAAAAGGGAACCGGCGCGAGGAGAGGATGAGGGGAGGGGGCGAGAGGAGAGGGAGGGAGAGGGAGGGAGAGGGGAGGGAAGGGACAAGAGGAGTGCGAGCCAGCGGCATTATATATCCTGCTCGAGCGGCGCACAGACCATGACTGGCGTTTGACGTCATCGCGTTGAGCTCAGGCGATGAGAGAGGCACAAAGCGAGAGAGGTGAAGCGGCGAGAGAGAAAGGGAGAGAGCAAGGAGAGCGCGGTTGAAGATAGGGGCAAAGTTCGGAGGACAAGAAACCTATTTTTAGAACACGCCTCCTTGGAAGTGCGGACTGTGGACGAACTTCTGACTCCCGAGCTTGTTCTTCTGACCGGAAGACTGCTGGCCTGGCTAGAAGAGGGAGCCAGGACTCTCAAACCGTCGCCAGCGCTTGCAAAGAGGGGTACGAGACTACGAGCATCGGGCGATTGGCTCCGCTGCTCCAGTGAGCCGGAAGCAATTCGGAATAGCCCACCAGAGTTTTGCCGCACTGGCATGCAAGGCCATACTTATCCTCGCATTGTCTGAAGTGTCTCGCAATCTCAGTAAGCACATAAATGAGATTAGAAACTATGAATATATGATGTGAGTTGCTCATATTACGAGGCCGTGCGGTAAATACAACTCGGATAAAGCATTATCTGTGGACACGACGCCACACAACTATCAAAACCTCCGCATCAAGTCGTAAGATTTGGTACGTTTGACAGAACCTGCGAGGATCACATTCTCAATGACCCTTGATGCAAATTCTCTGGGCATCCAAGGGCATATGTTAGGACTATAATTTAAGATAAGAGTTGTGGTTGGCACACGTCGCCACTCGAGACCGCCACAACTCATGCTAAACGTCGCCGGTGGGTCGCGTGGGGCCACGTTCTCGACGACTCCCGCATCGCCATCTGGGTCAAGGTCTTTTTCTCTGACGTCTGCCCCACCACACTCTGCCTTAGCAGCCCCTACCTCACCTGCTTCAGCATGCTCCGGTCGCCCCTCAGCAGCCCCAGCAGGCCCCAATCGCCCCTCAGCAGTAAGCTCAACCACCTCCAGCACAGCAGGCCCACCAAGCTTGTCAGCTCGCGCTCCAAGCTCGCCAGCACCAGCACACCTCGCCCCAGCAGCAAAATTTTCTGCAGCCTCCCGGCTCAACGGCTCCTAAGCTGGCTCTGCCACTGCTTCTGCAAGTTCAGCCGGACCCTCTTGCACCTGCAGCTCCCGCCATCGCTGCCAGGCCTGTGGGACCCAACATACCAGTTATCCTTGCTGTGCTTGAAGCTAGAATCACAGCACTGCAGGCAGAGCTAGATGCTTCCACAAACTATGCACCTGCTCCGCCAGCCATCATGATCGCCACAGAAGACGACATAGAGCGGGTGTGCGCTGCCGCGATCACCAATGCTGGCGGTAGGGCACAGGTAGCTGACCCCATGCCGGGGTACCTCGCTCCCTTCACCACCTTTCGTGAGTCTGCTTTCTTGTTTTCATCTTTTGTTTGCCCTCGTCCTCTCCCTTCCATAGCCATACCTCCTCACTGCCCCTCTCTTCTTGTCGCCCTCCTTGGCCCACACCTTTTTGCCATCATCATCCGAAGCATTTGCACTTCTTTCATACAGGTGTGCCTTCCGTGTCGCTCCCTAGGCGAGAGGCTTGGGTGCAGCACTAGATCTCTGTGACCTTTGCTATCTCGTACTCCATCTTGCCCTTGGTATGTCGCATGATAGTGCCTATTGACATCAGGATTGGCCCTTTATTTTCTTCGTCATCCTTTGTGGTCATTTCACTGACCTTGGTTCCTTGCAGCTGTCCCTCCAAAGGTTGCTTCCGCCACCAAGTTGCACAGTTTCATCCTGTACCACTTGTGCACACTCTAGGCCCGCGCAGACACCTCCTCTTTCAACGATCACCTCGTCATGATGGCCGACCGGTCGATGGTGTCTAAGACTATCGATCCTAGGAAGGGTTTGGGGCTGAGTCAGCAGGAGTGGGATGCTACAGCCGGAGAGTCGTCAAGGTGGTGCAGTCGGTCGCTTGCCACAACACATACATTGCTCATCACGAGAATGTTTGCTGAGTCGCGTACAAGTATAATGATTAGAGCCTCGCCATCTCACCAGAGGATGTAACACCTTTATAAATATACCTGCTAGTAAGAAGGGGAACATTTACAAATGTTCCTCTGGCTTAATAATTATAAATGTTGATACTGGGCTGGCTATTGGGCGGCCATGGGTGGTTCTGGGTGGCCAGAGTGGCCAAGGGTGATGGGGTAGGGCCTATGGGGGTGGTTCTGAGGGTAGGGTAGGGGGTAAGGGATGGGGTAGGAGTGCTGGGAAATAGCTATTGCGGGTAGGTAGGGCGTATATAGAGAAATGAGCTGGATTACATATGGATAAAATGGGGAATATGGGCAGGGATGATCACAGGGTGAGTAGGGATGGAACAGTGGCTGATATAAATGCAGAAACATTTTAAAATAATAATAGAGATGCTAGGGTGGGTGTACTGCATACCCGGTAGGGGAAATAGAGTGATCTGGGAGTATTTTGGTAACTTTGTGAGTTTTGTGAATTAGGATAGACGGGTTGCATTACCAGGTGTCATTTCAATAGAATTGACGTATAAAACATGGATTGTAGCCTGATGACAGCAATATGAAGGAGGCCAATTCTGGTGGTTCTGACTATTTGAAAAACATTGATAAATGTAGAGAGTGGTGTAAATCAATATTTGAAGGAGTCGGTCCATTCATTCCGAAGTTATAGTGTAAATGGTCAGCAAGATATTGCCTTATCGAGGTGGAAGGGGTGGACAGGACAGAACTGGGGATATAGTGGTTCAATTTCCTTGGTTTTTACTGTCATGTGTAGTCCTGTATCAATAATAAGTGATGGGAAGCACACTGGACAGCAAAACAATGTTAGTGGTGTCGCATCTAGATGGGGAGGAGGAGAACATCTATCCTAGGGGTATCCATGCTTAGAATATTTGTTGGTGTTAAAGTGGTAATTGGATAACATACTTTGAGGACAACAATATACAGTGCAACATTAGTCAAAACTGTCTTGCATTAATTGTGAGGTGCTGAGGGGCTAAAACAGCATATTGGGTCACAGTATAATCACAGAAACACTAATTTATGCATTTTGGGCACTGTTCCTTTTGTGGTAATTTAGTTTAAATGTGTATAAACAGTAATCATGCACCAGATCTGCCACTGGTGGACAGTGGAAAAAGTAAAACAATGTTTTTGATGGGGGAGCAGATGCACAGGTAGTATTGGGGGTGTATATGATCTATATCTCTCTAAAATGCAGTGTGACCATAGGGTGGTGTGGTGCGGGGATAGGATACATCATAATAAATGTTTCTGAGTCATCTACCATGTCAGAACTACTCTGTGTGATACAGTAAGTAGGCAAAATGACTGTTTTTCTTTACAAATGACTAATTCTGCAGTGTGTTTGGATTTCTGAATATATTTGAGGAATTTGTGAACCAATCTCTGTTGGAGATAAGCTGTATGTATCAAAAGAGAAATTCCGAAAAAGATCTAAAGTGATTACCTAGCGTGTACCTCTTAAAGTGCACAGAGTGCTCTTTTAGAGTTTGCAAGTAGAGAGCACTAGAGATATCAGTAACAGTGTACTATGCACTTTGAGAGGTATACACTACCTAATCACTTTGGATTTTTTTTTGAGAATTTACCTTTTAATACACAGAGATTATCCCTAATGGGGATTGGTTCCCTAGCCCTTTACCACAGCACCCTATGATCACACTGCATTTTTGAGAGATCTAGACCATATACATCCCAATACTACCTATGCACCTGCTCTCCTATCAAAACTATTATTTTGCTTTTGTCACTGTCTATAATTGGGGATTCTGGTGCTTGATTCATATCTATATACATTTAAACTAAATTATCACAATAAGAACGGTGCCAAAAATGCGTAAATTAGTGTTCCTGTAATTATATTATGGACCAATACACTGTTTTATCCCCTCAGCACCCCGCAATTGGTGCAGGACCATTTTGACTAATGTTACACCATAGATTGTCTTCCCAAATATCAAAGTATATTCTTCAAACATCACTTCAACACTACCAAACATTCTAACCATGGTAATACCCCTAAGGTAGATGTTCTCCTCCTTCCCTAGATGCAGCACCACTACCAGGGCCACAATTATTGTTTTGATGTCCAGCATGCTCTCCATCACTTATTATGGATATAGGACTACACATGACAGCCAAAACCACGAAAATCGAACTACTATATCCCCAGTTCTGGCCTGTCCACCCCTTCCACCTAGACAGGGCAATATCTTGCTAACCGTTTGCGCTATAACTTCGGAATGAATGGACTGATCCCTTCAAAAATCGATTTACACCATCTTATACATTTATTAATATTTGTCAAATAGTCAGAACCCCCAGAATAGGCCTCCTTCATGTTGCCGAAATCAGGCCACAATTCATGTTTCCTACCTCAATTCCATTGAATTGACACCCGGCAATGTGATCCATTCGTCCTGATTCACAAAACTCACAAAGTTACCAGAATACCCCCAGATCACTCCATTTCCCCTATCAATCTACCCCCGGGTATCCTGTACAGCTACTCTAGCATCTCTACAATTATTCTACTGTTTTTCATATTTATATCAGCCACTGCTCCATCCCTATTCGCCCTGTGATTATCCCTGCCTATATTCTCTATTTTATCCATATATAACCTAGCCTGTTTCATTATATATGCCCTATCTATCCACTATACCCATTCCCTAGCATCCATACCCCCTTACCTATCCCCAGGACCCCCCCTCCCCATACACCCTACCCCATCACCCTGGGCCACCCTGGCCACCCAGAACCACCCCCCGACTGCCCCAATAGCCAGCCCAGTATCAACATTTATAATTGTTGAGCTAGAGGAACCTTTGTAAATGTTCCCCTTCTTACTGCGCAAATGAGGGATAGGATATCTTCGATGCTGTTGCATAAAAAGTGGTGTTTTTTTCACTCTCATTGGATGCTTGCTAGACACATTCAACACTCAATGGTTGTACAGTCTTCTATTCCATCCCAGCTCCGTCCTCCTGCATGTGTGAGTGATGTATTATGTACAACAATCCTCGCTCTGAGGCAAGTGACTCAAGGATGAGAGTCCTTCAGATCGCCTAGACATCTGCTCGGTCTGAATCAGCATGGCAAGTCTAAGAAGGCTTCATCAATCAGTCTAAATACACGTAAACTGACCTAGTAAACAGGTACTTTTTGAATAATACCAAGTAGGGTCACCGAGTGGCATTGCCCACTACTGTTGCTCACATCCTTATGCCAGGCTCGAATGTACTTACTCACCATTTTGACTCTCTCTAGTATGTGTGGCAGAGTGGCCCTCGAATCACACAATGATTATTGAGGCAACAATCTATAACCTCATTGTGTCAAAGCATAGTATTGTGACATAGTTTCAGCCACAGTACATATTCAGTAGGTCCATCTGTATTAGTTTGTGTTCACAGGAGAAGGAATAGGCTCGGCTTTCTATTGCGATGCAAGAACTCTGAATACATAGTGTACTGTTCGCAGCACAGGGCATGCCACGGGTACCAGGACCTGTGAGTACCTGCAACGGATACTCGTAAGACACATCATCGGGTATCTGTATCCGTGGATATAGATACTTGTTCCCACGGGTGTGCGCACGGATACAGGTCTGATGCTGGGGCTCACAGGTACTCGTGGGAGAGTACCTGCCATATTCGTCATTTCCAGGCCGGAGCTTATCGGAGGCCAGATGTTTGTCCAGCGACTCTCTCTCCTCACTCTCTCCCACTTCCCTGAGTGTACACCACTGTGTGATAGAATTGACACGTTGTGTCACCATCAATGGTGGTGCTGCTCATCCTGTGTACTTGTTTCTATAAGGATCTCGTGGGTCTTTGAGTGAATGAGTTTGGAGTCCCACCCCCTTGCTGTTACGACCGGGCTTAAGCTAGGCTTAAGGGCGGCGTCGGTTTCGTGAAGCGAGGAACGATCGAGTCGTTCGGCGCCGTCGGCTTGGGCGATCAGCGAGGGGCTTTGGGGGTTCTGGATCCGGGGTTCTGGCTCGGTTCGTCTAGACGCGGCGTCCGGTCTAGAATCGAGTTCGTTCAGAGGAGGCATCCTCTTCTGAGGCAGGCGTCCTGCTAGAGCTGATGTGGATTCGGGGTTCTGATAGTAAAGCTCTTCAGTAGTCGAGATTCGAGGGGTATCGTCTTGAGGTCGCACAAGACGATATTGAGAATTCTGGTGATTTCAACTGAAACACTGTAGGTACGATACAAGTGAACAGGTTGGAGAATCTCGACTACAAAGGTTCGATATTTATACTAGTACAAGTCCGTGTGAATCGCCACGTCATATAGGTCCGCCACATCAGCCT